TCATGAGTTGTGCTACTCATCTCATTTTCATTTACTTGAACATTGGATAATAGCATTTTACGCGTTTGGCCCATCTGTGGGTACCAGGATGTGTAGCTTGCAATTAATGTCTAACCGGATCGGAGGGACAAAGCTTGGTTGGATGGTACGAGATCAGACTCGAGAATAGACCGGTTTTCATTATCTCCATCCATTACACTGCGTTATCTCCATCCATCACAAGGATAGGGCTGGATTACTCATTCTGATCATTTTTAACATGATGCACCTTCATCCAGGATCATGTGAGGGGATAAGTAATCTAGGGTCAACACATTAGGCGTTGATCAACCCTTTTTCGGGATGCGCTACATGTCCCATTCCATTCAGAATTCTAGAGCCATTTTGAATACGTCTAGGTATGCAACAAATATCTCATGTGATAATCAGGATTTTTATCCCATCAACAGTCTGGTATTACTTCAATAACCCTGGAGGGCTTGCATGACCTCAACGAAGCTCAATCCGATGCTTGGTCTACTCACTGGATACATGGTAAGTTGCGACATTTCTCACTACACCAGCTCCGCCTTTATGGTGGCGGATTTCGGATTTAACCTTCCCAAATCCCTCGCTAACTTATACGAAAAGAGAATAATGTTTAGATAGCAAATAAGTAATTTATTACAACAGTGAGTTGTACCTTGGGTGAGTATATATAGTGACTCGTTTCCCGGTTGCTTTCCACTCGAACATCGCACTCCGTGCCTCTCATATGAGTGACGCCTTTCTGGCCGTGCAGCAATTGGGCGACATCGACAAAACGGCTCGAGAACTCATAGTCGATGACGAAACTGAAAGCGCAAAATTGCAAAAAGTCGAAGGTTTTCGAAAATGGACTTCTGCCTGAAGCATTGTCAAACATTGCAGAGTTATGGAACCATTATCGCTTCTTACGATTTTATAGGATCCTAGTTGACCTTATCATCCTACCATATATAATCCGCTAAGCGGTTGTACGTGTGTGTGTGTGTGTGTGTTTGTCTGTCCGACCAGAAATTCATAACTTCGTTCCTTTTGCTCCCAGAGCGCTCAAACTTTTAGGTATGCCAGTTGAGCTCCGCAGCGCATAACACGGTAGGTTTTGGTGAAAGTACTCAAGTAGCCTATGGAAAGAGTTGTGCCTCGCTTTTGAAGAACCCAACAGTTAATTGCTTTGTCAAGTGCGTTAGCTGATCTTCGTTATACTGCCCTGTTGTGCTGAAGCTCACCGTTTGCTACGCGCGATGGACTGCGGAGTTAAACTGGTGTAACAATATTTTAAGACTTCAAAAGTTCATTCCACAGCGATCATAAGGCTAGAAAAATCGAAGCTAATTAGAGCAGCATTATGAAAGCAGAAGCGGACCGCATGCACAGGAAGAGCACGCGCCGAAAAAATTTGCCTAAATAACTACCAGCATTCCAGAAATCAACCATCTACTGACTAATCTTCTCATCCCAAAACTATGTCTTGATTCACCAATAACGTGCTGGTCAATCGAGGGGAGGAATGGGGAAGGTTGTAGTGGGAAGGAACAGGATAAAATTTTAGACAACCTGCAAAATCCCTCAAATGGCCAGGCACACGCTGAGAAGTCACAACGACTCCTCATGGGATCGCTGTAGGACTAACTTCTAGAGATATCCGACTAGTATAACCTTGATATTCGCGGCCCTTTCTTTTGAAGATTTGAACGTTGAAACGCACCCTCGTGGATCGGCCTTGGCTGGATTGGTGGTGTTGAAATGTATAAGGAGGTCCGTTCCAACCGAGTACAATTCCATGCGTTGTTGTAGACCACATACCTGAAGAATTCCTTCGTGCATACCTGTGAAATTTTTTGTGTA